CAGAACGGAAGGAGCGGCACCTCCTTAGATTGGGGTTGTGTACGTTATTGAGGGACTTAGGACTGATATATAGAGAAACAGAGAATTTTTAGAGATGATTTTGTATTTGTGAATGTAATTTGAGTAGTACTCCATGAGTATTATTCAGTCAATGAATTACTTGAGGTTTCCATGTGAGATGATTATCCACGATGACGCCTAGGTATTTAATTGGTTTATTCGAAGGAGTCCAAGCGGTTGGGTAATTATTTATCTTGAAAGCGAGAGGAGTGTTTGTTATTTGCTCTGCAAAAGTTTTGGTTTCACATTTTGAGGGATTGAACAATAAGCCCCATTTTTTAGTTCAATGAGAAAAAAGTATTTAAGTCTCGTTGCAGGTCACTTACTACGTCAGAGATCCTGCGTCGCTGGACGTGAAAGGTAGCTGCCATCAGCGTAGAGAGCAGTAGCACAGTTTGATAGATACCTGCCGAAGATACTAAAGAGGGTTGGCGAGAGGGGGGATACTGGCAAGAATTGGGGTAGGGAGCAATAGGCTATTGTTTATTTTTACTGTGCAGAATCTATTATCCAGAAAGCGTTTGATAATTTGGAATAGACATTCCGGGAGTCCTAGTTCACGGAACTTGAATAACAATCCACTGTGCCAGACTATGAAACGCCTGCACGAAGTCTAACAAGGCTGCTACGCAGATTTTTTTTCGTTAACTATTCCACTCGTGAAATTAAAACCAATAGTGTTTAACTATACATACAAAATACCCTAATCAGGTTGGTGTATCTCAAAACGTTTATCGCTTTTTTCTGTTTTATTTTTCTTACCGCTTCTTCCTACTGTTCAATCATAAACTGTGACTCGCCTATCTTGGGAGACGTTGCACATCGATCACTATGTCGCTATGTCCAATAAACAGTGTATGTTCTATAGAATCATCCATTATTTTCAACATTTGTCGCATTTTGGAACTCTGTTGGACATAGTTTCACCTGTGGAATAGTCCTATAAATAAATAAAAGGTTTGTCAATTCTCAGATAAATCCCCTCCTCGCTTCGCCAGTCGGGAATTCATCAACAATTTCCAAAGCACTCCTGGTATTACCTATGATTAAGATTAGCTTTTCGAAATCTGTCGCAAGTTGACTATTCCACTATTGCAAGTGCTAGTAATAGACTATTTGGTCTGTAACTTGATGGGTGTTTTGGGGATTTATTGGGTTTTAAAATGGGAATGACTTGATATTTTCCTGCGTGGGAGAGGCAGAATTCGAGTCTTAGACGGTTGTTTAAGATAGTAGTTAGATAAGCAAAAGCGTGTGGTGGAAGGTGTTCTAGAGCAGTCAATACTAATGCCTGAACAGTTCAGACGATATTCTTAAAAGTTGACATTCCCCCATCGATTTGGTCGAAGTTGAGGCCCTCCAAATTTGAAATGAATATTTTGAGGGTTCTTTACATGAAGCCCCCAACAAAATTTCCTCAAATTGAATGTTTTCTTTGAAGCTAAATTTGTTAATGTGCAATGTTAATTTGTGGCAATTTTCGAAAATTCAGTGTTCACCGAAAATGGAACCTCCTCCATTTGTATAAGTTAAGTTTCCTCGATTTGAGAAAAAATGGTAGAGGTGTTTTTTGAGTAATTTTAGTTTTTAATTCCCTGTATTTCACGCAAAATTTCGTGAAACGACTCATATTTTCGAAGAGTTGTACTTGATCTTACGTAAAGATGCCTTTTTTACAAATTTAATTCATGAAACAAATCTCTATTTTTAATGCCGTAGTTTTGGAAAGATGTAGAAAAAATGAACATTAGTAATAATCGAAAATTGACAGTTCATCGAAAATTAAAACTGCGGCAAGTTTTGTAACAACCTTTTCTTTTCCCAAGAATATATAATCATATGATGTTGAACCATTTTAGGAAAAATGTTGAAAATTATACAAAGACTTCAAGAAAAAGAATACGCGTTTTTTATCAGAAAATCGCCACTTTCCGCTGCAGCAATACAATTTGACATTATTATGAAAGTATGTATTATGCGAGAAAAAATATTAATAATTAACCAATGTAGCTAAATCATTGAATGTTGTTCATATTGTAAGTGTTGATTCTTATCTTTCCCGGACGTATAAACATTCTGTAATTAAAAGTGTCCTTGAAACCAATTTGTTAATGCAAGTTTTCAGAAAAAGGAGTTTTAAAGGAACGATCTCGCAGAGAATGTAATGGATTTTACCGGGTCAGAAGTAAAAGTTTTCCTTCATAATTGGTGAACGAATCGATTTATACAGTGGTAACGTTGATGTGGACGGAATTAAATACACATACATTTTTTATTGCTGTTTAAATTGTGTTTTAGCCCAATATAACCGTTATTACATCATTTAAGACCAGGTGCAGCTAGATATATAAAATGATGTACTAAATGTTTGTTCTTGCCCTTCCCATAACTTTCTCTTTTCCAATTAAAATGTCTTCCCCAGCACCATGCAATCAATGTATGCCCCTAACGTGTACGTTTCGAGAAAAAGCTATAGAACCAGATTCGGAAATATCTAGCCATGTAACTAGTTCTTTTACTGGTTGCATCCGACACGTAATACAATTCACTTGGGAAATTTAATTTACTGACTACATCCGTCAAACCCATTGTTAATGTTGCAATATTCATTTATAATTTTCATTGGTAATGGACTAGTAGAAAGGAGAGGAAAATACCAATGCCGAAAATGTGACACCCACTCACGATCCTTTGAACTCTGATAGGGCGCTAAGGCCATAGCAATCTCGAATATCTAGGCCGATGTTTCAATCTTTATAGTTACATTTCATTGTTTTTTACAATTCCTAGCGGTCATAAATTCCTTTAGATTGAGTGGATTTTACTTTTGTACCAGCGTTTAAAATATGCTCGTGGGGCAAAAAAGCCAAATGAAAACTTGACAGACTTTTAATTTATATGACGATTATAAGCTAGTGCTGTTGCTCTTCTCGTTTTCCGAAAAATACCCGCTTTTGACATTACAGTCTTGAGTATCATCAAGTGAGCAGGGGATTAAGCGCTCAAACTCTCTTTACATGCTCTGAAACTTAATTGATAATTATATTCTATTAAGACACCATTTCTGTTACATCTGAGATATAAAAAATAAATTTTTGTAAGTTGTTAAAGTAATTCTTTTCACGTACTAGTGTCTCATTTATTGTATGGGTAGTTTTTAAAGAATTCACTTCTGATTTATTATTATAATTAATTTTATAAGGCTCGTAATATTATCTTATGTGTATACTAATGTACGTTTGGAGTTTCATAAGCGAATCCATCCAAAACCGTTGTCTTCAGAATTTCATTGGTATTATTACGTCGTGCCTGTTCACATTTTGAATACTACTATAATTGTATACAGCAGATAAAAAAACAATATTTTACTACTGCTATCAACAAAATTTGCAGAACCGCTTAAGTAGCTAATTTTTTAAGTTTACCCAACCATTCATTAACGTTAAAAATGTAGCAAATACCATTTAAGAAAGCCAGTTGATTGTGCTCCAATTTCAGCAGAGCATGGCCGTTTGGAAAGGGATTTCTTCCAAAGTTCGAGTGAACAATGAGAGCCCCGAGTGCATTCAGTTGTTACTGATGTTGTAGAATTTGTGCAACAATTGTGTGTGATGTATTCAAAATCGAAATCTTTATTAATTTTCTATTCTGCACCACTCGGTAATTACGAATCAGTAACGTTAATCTCGTATCTAGTGTCAAATGTGTTTGATATTTTCCGTTTGTGAATTTCTTCCACGCATGTTATACACAAGAATTCCTTTCATTGAGTCGTGCCAGTCAGATTCCAATTAGTAATTTCACCTACAGTTGCTTCTGACAATGAGTTGTGTGTGTCGTTAATTTTTGGATCAAACTTAGAATGTCATGTTTAAAGATTCAAATGTACTTTCAAAGTTAAAAAAATAAAAAATAAATAAATAAAAAAATAAAACACATCAGAGACTTGTGCAGCTTAAAACAACAGAGGGAAGAACTGCATTTCTGGGCCCACTTCCCCGTGAATCATTTTTACTTACATATGATATTTTACTAGTAAATAAAGAAAATATATAAGGGGCAATGAAATTGTCACTTTGATGCAATTAAGTGATTTAATGCAGAACCATTTATTGGATTGCCAGATGGCTTGGAGAGCCATCTCAAATATTAATTCAATGTCATATTTTTCGCCAAATTATCAGGTGAAAAAAGAGGAAAATCAACGATTGATCATATTTTCGGAAGTATTTTTTTCATTGCATAGGCTATGGAACCCCTTCCAAAAATTTCAAGAGCCACGGCTCCTTGTCCCCCCAATGAGCACCTACTATGAATACCATAATCCATAGCCTCCAAATAAGCATCAAGTAGGCCTCGCCTGTGGCGTGGGATGGAGTGTGCATAACCGGAAGGCCATCGCTATAGAGGTGATGGGAAATTAATCGCTCTTTTTCCGTCGCTGTGACCTCTGCGTCGAGCCCCGGTGCCCCACTTGACCGCGGAGCGCGCTCCCCCGTGCCCAGTCGACGAGGCCGCCCGCGCCGCGCCGCGGATTGGTGTCATCGGCGCGAGGGATCGATAGCGGCGCGCGAGCCGCGGGCGAGCGCTGCCAGGCGGCGCGCGCGTCGGCATCGACTGGTGGAGGGGGCGCACAGGCGGCCGCGCCCTTCCGCGGCGGCCACGCAGTGGACGGCGTCCAGCTGTCGGCCGGCGGTCAAGTTCGGAGGCAGTAGAGCTGCCCCGTTAAATGACGCGAGCCCATAGCGCCGGAAGGCAATCAGGCGAGACACAACCGCAACGCGAGCCGGATTGTTTGGGCGCGCCGGCGACGCGCCCGGGTGTACGCCCACCCTGGGAAAGTGGCACGGTTCGTTAAGAAATCTGGTCCCGTCTTGAAAAGTGTGCTCTGACAACTGTCGGTTCGGGAAGTGCAGTGGTGTGGCTGCGCTCTCGCATGCGCCCCCAGTGTGTCGCGTCAGTGTGTTCCCGAGGAGCAACGGTCGTGCGCCGCTGCTGTTGTCGCCGCAGTTGCAGCCGCCGGATCGGATGCCAAAATGGCTCTGGCGAGGTTAGTACCCCCTCGGAGCGCACGCCTGGGTCGCGTTCCTGCCGCTCATCTGCTCGGCCCGAAATAACCGCGGGATTCCAGGTTGGCGTCGGCGAAAGCAGGGCTCCTGCCCCGCACCTCGCCGCTGCCCGCGTGGGCCTTCGAGGTTTCGCTGGTGGAGGCTTTGTGGGACGCGGCCCGCCCGGGCACGAGCTGCACGCACGCACGCGGGTGGGCCGGAGGCGAGCGACCTGCAGGGCCTGCATTGTTTACGCGAGGGGGAGGGTCGAACAAAGGAAGCACGCGTCCGTGGAGCCGCGGCATCAAAGCGCTACCTGGCGGAGTCTACTGCCCTTCGGAAAACGAAGGTGGTGCGTCTGGTGAATTTCGTTAATGCGGCCCTTCTTTACAATCCTCGCACGTTTTTGTGTGGACGAGGCTTCTTTGTCGTCCGGTCGAAAGAGAAGGTGGGTGCTGGGACGCTATCTCGGGAGGGATATAGCCACCACCGGGCGTTCGTTCCTAGCCCTGGAGAGCCGGGGTGAGGGCAAGGGCGTGGAAGCGGGCCGGCCCCCGGGCTGCTCCGAATCCGCGCCGGCGCTCGTCCCCGATTTACAAACAAAGCAGCGCGCGGGTCGCGGCCGAGGGCAGGCCAGGCGGCCCGGCGCCGCCGCCGCCGCCGCCTGCAGCCTACTTTCGCGTGCCGCGCCGCGCCGCGGGCGACATCGCCGCCTACGCCGACGCCGCCACCAGCGCCCCATCTGGTGCAGGACGGCGTCGCAGCACCCTGCGCTTGTTGGGAGCCCCCTTCAGGCGCGAGGCGTTTCTTAGGATGCTTTTTTGGGCTTACGTAAACTGACTACAAATGTGAGGGACGGGGAGGTGGAAAATAGGGCGTGTATAAGGATAAGGACTATCGGAAAAGGTCTGTTGGGTTTAAGAGCCTGAAAGCTCTATATGGGGCTGTTATGGTGAGGTTTGTTTTGCAGGATTGGGGTTTTGAGACAGCATTAATTCCAAGGAGAATTATTTTACGTATTGAGAACGTCGCCCTCATTCTTGTAAAAGTCAAGCATCTAATTCATGAGGGCCCTTGCTTCGCATTAAAAAAATGTGCATTCAAAAGCTAAATTTCCAACAATTTTCATTTCAGTTTAAAGATTAATCCATATAATAATAATAATAATAATAATAATAATAATAATAATAATAATAATTAATTATGCAAACTTATATACGGCTCCTTTTGGAGGATATAGTGAACTAAGCCTGACTACATTAATTTTCAGGAATACTTGACTTCTTTTTGGATGAAACTAAATAACATGCTCTGTGAAGTTAGTACTTCCCCTTCGGTGCTAGCTTCCCGCAAGCAAGTCACGATTTAGTTGGAGAAATCGTCACAATCTTTTTTCTACCTCTCGGAAGAGCTTCCATGAAGTTCTGCACTTGCATTAACGCGGGTGCGAACTTGCGCAGAGCATTCGGAGAATGCCTTTCCTGCACACGTCATGGGGGGAGGGGGAAGAGGAGAGCAATTCTGGATACAATGATTCACGATTCGAGGAGAACTCTCAAACAGCTAGTAAGCTTCCGTGCCCATGCTGGATTCGGCCTGTTGTGGGATCTGTAATGCTCGCGGACCAACGTCTCATTCGTCTGATTCATTGTACTTTGTGAAGCACTCGGACGTGGATGGTGCATGGCAGAAAACGAGTCGCGGCAGATACATTTAACCTATCAGTACGGTATTTGGCACACGGGCCTATCGCGCCCTACACTTAAGCTGATTGGATTTAGCGATCTCGTGACCTCGATATTATGTACTTGTACTGGATGGAACAGTGCTAGATGGAGGTTCGGTTGGCGTTAGTGGTCTTATAGTAAATTTTGCCTGGAAAATTTTTCCAACGGAGTGAAACATTCTTATGTCAACCCACACTTAATTCGAGAATGCATCGTTTATGTCATTCATTACCTTGATCACTCCATCACAAGGACATGTAACTTGTCTGAAAAGAGATTGTAATATTTAAGTAAATTTACTATTTGAACGTTTTAATTGAAAACGGGAGTGAGGATAGGCCGAGGTAAATTATAGAGCCTATTACAAACGTGCAGAGACGGTAGACTACCATCATTACTTCGTGCAACCGCTCCAGCGCCGCGCCGCGCCGCGCCGCGCCGCGTCTTTTAAATCCGTCTGCCGCAACCGGTCGCGGGTGTCGCCAAGGGGACCGTGGACGGGGAGGTGTGGCGCGGCGCGGCGCGGCTCGAGCGGAGCGTGCGTGACACCCCTGGGCTAATAGGCTGTGCCGCAGAAGGTCGGCGCTTCGAGGTCGCCGCTTTATCGCTCGGCGGTGGCGGTGGCGGCGGCGCCGCATGGCGCGGGGAGGGCCGGCGGACGAGAGGAGGAGGAGGCGGCGGCGGCGGTGGAGGGCTCGCGGTATCGTGGCGGCGGCGGAGGCGGCGTCC